TTGCTAGTAGAGATAAAGAATAAAAACAAAGGTTTACTCAGAAATGTTCTTGTGCAGGAAATATTTGTTTTTAATGAATTTAAAATATATTAGAAGACACAAATCATTTCCAAGACCTATATTTGAGTGTTAGTTTTAATTTATAAGTATCTGAATAATGTACATTGTATCATCACTTCACAATCACATGATATGTCAACATGAATGTGCAAATTTCTTCACCATTTAGTGAATACTATATGATAAACTGCACAAGAAACAGTAATCTAGCAAGTCTATAATCAAATTAAAATAACTAAATGTCTTAAGATAGCTATCAAATGCAACACTAACTGTTCTACACATTTTATTTTTTAAAAGTAATTTGAAATAACCCATTTTTAGAGACCTGAAATTTTGTGACAACAGTAACTAGAGTCATAATCAATTTTAGCTTTACTCAGTCTAGTTCAATCTCAGGGAAAAAGCCCTACAGTTACAACCCAGGCAGTCTGCAAACCTCCATACTACATAGAACAGGAAAGTTAGTTAAAAATAAAAAATAAGAATAATAAGAGAGATTAATAATTGAAATAAAATATATCATTTTTGCTGGTGTTCCTAATAATATAAGATACAATCAAATTTAGTTTGGAGAGGAAGCATTTACAAGTCAGATGTTTAAAATGTGGAATGGGCTGGGCTTGGTGGCTCAATCTATAATCCCAGCACTTGGGGAAGCCGAGGCGAATGGATTGCCTGAGCCCACAGGTTCAAGACCAGTCCGGGCAATTTGGCGAGACCTCATCTCTACAATAAATTTTTAAAAATTTGCTGGGCATGGTAACACACGCCTGTAGTTCCAGCTTCTTGGAAGCCTGAGACAGAAGGATCACCAGCGCCCAGCAGGTCTACACTGGAGTGGCATGCACTCCAGCCTGGGTGATGGAGTGAGACTTCAACTCAAAAAAAAAAATAAATTAAAAAAATAAAATGTGGAATGAATAAAAGTGCTAACAACATTGTTGAGAGGCCAAATTGACATCTTAACCTTGTAACCAAAATGGTTCAATACCTATATAATTTGCCATATACTCAAGGAGAAAAATCTAGCAGGCTTTTAACATTGTGAAATTAGCTATAAAAGTCAAATAGCTTCATAGATCGTTTCCTCCCTCAATGACTCTAAATAATGGCCACAATACAAAATAAAATTAAAGATGCTATTTAAAAGGGCTCATGGAATCTAGGATTCTTAGCTTTGGGAAACCTTTTTTCTCTTTATCCTATATCTCTTTAATAAAATGTGTCACATTGAGTCTACATAGTTAAGATAAAATTTGAGGTTTAAACTTTGGTCTTATTCCTGATTTGATAGTTTGATAAAGGCTCATGGAGAAGGAAGACCCGCCTCCCTCCCTAATATGTTCACCAAGAGGAATCACTTCACTGCTGCTTTTATACAGATGTATTAATCAGTCTAAATCTGTGGCTCCTATTTCTTTGCCTAATACATAGGGAAAAAGAAATCTACTATGCATTAGTAACAAAAGCAATTCTCCCTATTAAGCCTTTTAAATATAATTACCAAACACTTATTTTACAGTTAGTAACTCAACTTGCTCTAAGATTAAATTATAAAAGAATAATCAGTCATTACTTAGGCAAAAGAATAATCAGTCATTACTTAGGCAGAGGTTCATGTGTCAAGAACTTATCATTCATTCTGCATTCAGTATACTGTGGAAATAAAAATGAATATGGTATCTCTAAATGGATATGTGACCGCCTCCAACAAAGAACACCTATCTCACACAGACAAATGCCCAAAAAGATCTCACAATTTGACAGAGCTTCCATCTGGCCTCTAGCCTTTAAATGGCATTCAATAACAAAAAACTGTTTTTAGTAGAAACGTTCTCAGGTAATTTCTGATTAAATTTTAAAAGTAGATAGCAAAAAAGCAAGTACTTAAAAAAAATTCCCTAAGATGCTGTAAATCTTCAGAATAATCATTTTAAAATACATGTAATGGCAAATTCAAATATTTTTGTTACCTATATTCTAGAAATAATTATATATAAAAATAGAAGACGTACTTTCTGAGAGGTTAAAAAAACAGTTATTTATTATTACTTATTCCAGTACACACTTAAGTATATCCTTTTAGTTACTAACAATACCACTGTTCTAACATTTTATATAGAAAGAACTTTACTATCACTCAGCAATTATTCGTCTTGTACCTAATGAAGCACAGTATGATTTCGATCATTTACAACAGGGGAAAAAAATGGAGGCACAGAATGCTAAATTACTTGCCAAAGACCCAAGCTAAAATTATGGGCAAGCAGAAAATAACAGTTGAAATCTAGTAGCTACAGTTTACTGATAAATTGCATACAATTTTCCAGTGATATTTAAAAAATACATATAAGTTCACAAATAAACGCATACAAATAACTGAAAAGGCAAGGAAAATTAAGAAGAAATCTTCTACATAGCCTGAATTACATAGAGAAGTGTGGTTTAGAAAATCAAAGCTGCTAAACAGCAAGTTCTATTGAGATCTGCACATCAGGTAAAAAGAACTTGAGAAATAAACACATATATTAAATAAAAGATTATTAATTATGACCCAAGAAGTTTAATTTTATAAGAGAACCTAATAGACATAAACATAATGAGAAGGTATCTCTAAGCAAGCACTGAAATATATCTTTAGAGAAAATAAAGCCTATTTAAAATATCAACAAATTAAAGTTAAAAAAATAGCATGTATACATAATATATAAGATGCGATGTAATCATAAAAGTGTGGACTTTTGAGGGGTGACTTTCAAACAATAAGAGTGTCAATTCCAAAATAAATGAGATGCCAGGAAAAATGGTAGATATTAGCTTACAAGATTAGTTTATGAAACATGAAATTTTATATAAAATAAAATTCTTCTTTAACCCAAGAACAATAGTGCTTAAACAACATATTTTTTTAAAAGACCACATTATAAACAAAAGCATCTTATGGCATTGCTTTATATCCAGTTTATCTTGTCTTTAAAACATTAATACATAATATCTATGAAGCATTTAATTTCTTCTTTATTACCTCTTTAAAACCTCTGCATTTGTCTTCTTAACAAGGCAAAACCAAGAAAGGGTATTTTGGATATCCATCATTTCTAGAGTATTAAAAATATCTTTACCTTCCAGAAGACTTTCACAAAATTCCAGACACTGGCATGTTGGAATAATGCAATTAGAAATACAAGTTTTATAACAACAACTAATGAAATAACAAACACAGGGCTATACTATTAAAAATTTTATCAAAATTAGAAGATGGCACCTATTTTTTTCAACAACTAAAATACGATGGGTTGGACATGTCCTATTCTAAAGTGATTTTTGAAATAAAAATTATATTCAGTTCCTAGTTTCTTTGTTTAAATATATGACAAAAACAAAGAATCTAGTAAGAATGTGTAAGTTCTATAGCAAAAAGGCCGGAATCAATCTCTTATCTCAAAAAAATTAATAACAGAGTACATATTCATATAGGTTCAAATAATTTTTTAAAAAGGCCATGAGCTCTGTAAGTTGTAAACTATTTTTCAACTTAAGCATACTTCAACCTGAACCCCGTGGACATTTTCCTGAATTGAATTTTTATTCATTATAAAAGATTGCTATGTTTTGTTTTTATTTATTTACTTTTGCTGTCTGATATACTCCATTATGTTATGCTTATGCTTGGGATTTAATTGTTTACATACTTCAAAAATTATACTGTGGTCAGAATTATTCAAGTTATCTCCTGAACTAAATTATCCTAAACAGAAATGAACTTAACCTTCAGCATAGCTCCCAAAACATTCTACATGAACTACTTAAAAATACACTGGCCAAATTATTAGGGACTTTCTTACCTTTGTTGAAGCACTTCTTTATTTCTACAGGGAAGTTTTAATTTCTCCCTATCTTTCTCAATGATAGTATTTTTTAAAAACTCATAAAACTTAAAACTGCATGCCTTTATTTGAGGAATTAAGACAAACAGAAACTATATTCTTAATGACCAAAATAAATGGCATCATTTGAAAGCAAATACTTAAAATCATGTATCTTTGTTTTTATCACCAAAGGTTATTCTCTTTGAAATATTTGAAACATTTCAAAACTTTGTGTCCTCAGTTAAAAAGGCTTTACCAAAAGATGCTTTTTGGAAGACATGAGAAAGGTTGTTGTACCACCCTATAAGAACCTTTGTGCCACCGAGAGAGACTGATGCCTCTTCTAAATGAGCTCTCCTTTGGTGCACCCACCCCGGCTCCCATCTCACCCAGGGCTTTAATCAATTTTTGCATTTCAGCTCAAATGAGCAGTCTGCGGACCCTCGGGAGGAGTCTGCTGTGGCAGTATCAGCTGAGATTCTGATTAGCAAGATGCCTGACTTTGGTAAAAGCACCAAAACAAAACAAAGAAACAAAGAAGACAAAACAAAAAATAAGATCTACGTAGGCCATCTTTTCACTTTCCTTTATTTCATAAGAGAGAAGCATTTAACACATTTGTTTTCATAATAAAATAAGGAAGTCCTAATGAAGTTCTTATCAATAAAAATTCTCATCATCGTTAATAAACTTTTATAATATGCTAACAGAGCTTAGTAACTCTATTGTTTTATGACATAAAACATAATAATCTTAGTACAACGTATTTATATCAAATTATTTTTATGGCCTTTATAGACAAAGCACTGTCAACTTCTCTTGTCAAGAGAAAAATAATTCTGTGTTTGAAATGCAGATTATCGCTCTTATTTACATCTAAATTCAGAGTAAAATCATATATGGTAGGTTGATGAGTGGATGAAATCTGCCTCTGAAGTACTGTTTCCACTAAATAAGATTTTAAGAAGCATCCTATCCTGTAATGTTTTTCATTTTATCTGTGATGAGAAAATGATAACCATGGAACCTTAATCCCCTACGGACAAGGTCTGAGCATCCCAGGCTTACCTGACAAGATTTTCATTGTCTCCAGTTCCCTTGCAAGTTGCACACTCAGTTCTTAAATCTTCAGCCTTGGGTTTCTTTTGTAACACAGACTGTCTTTGTCTTCTTTCTCTAGGAACTCGTTCCTGCCATACAAGGGAGAACACAATAAAACATAACAAAACAAAATCAGGATAGGAGGGAAGCAGAAATAATTTTAAGCAAGAAAGTTTTGCAAAGTTTAGACTATGTAAAAAGTGCTTAACTTATTCCAACCTCATGTTTCTCTTCTTCAGGAACGAAGCTTCGTTTTCGTCCTCTGGTTCTCTAAAAAAAAAAAAAAGAAAGAAAGAAAAAAAGAAACCACACAGATAGCTAATGTTTAATGATAAAAATAATTTTTCTGTTAAATGTTATTGCTTTAAGTTAGACACTTAAAAAGTTGGTATTTCTAGTTAATATTGTATTTACCATTGCATTTTGCTACTATTTGTATCATAGGATATAAAAACATAACAAATTAAATACACTTTACAGTGCTTTACTTTTAAATAAACATACATCTGATAGGAAAAACAAATCCTCCAAAATTATTTTGAAGGATTTTCGTCAATACTTCATGATCATCACATAATTATGATTTACTCCGAGCATTTAAAAGTTCATAACTTAATGACATATGGCTCTACAGCTGAAATGCTAAACCTGGGGTCATGCTACATATGTGCATGTGCATACATATCTGTATAATGTACGGAAACAATTCGTAAGCAGCCAAGAGAGAAGTGGGAGGAAAAGGTCTCACATATCCTTAAATCCTATTTAAAACAAGCTAATTAAAACAGAATACAAAATGACTTACTGCTAAAATTTGCATCTTATATTTTAGAACACATTTACCGTTCGAAAAAACACATCCGAGTGTTTAAAAGAAATGTAAGTATAATAGTATCGGCAGCCAATAAAAATGTTAGAAATCTCCACCCACTTCACCCAGCTCCTGTAGATTTCTACTCCCATATGCAGACCACTGCTCCACTGAGATTGCGAGAGAAAGAAGGCAATGCTCCCACAAATAACTTTGACAGGTGAGATTAAGGAACATTCCCAAGCTACAGCAGATACCAAGTAATTCTAAACAGAATTACTTTACAATGTAAATATATTAATTCTTGCTTATATTACTGTAAATTCAATTCTTCACAGTACCAAGTCTGTTGTTATTTAATACCATGACTAACTGCATACTAATCTGCCCCTAGATAACAAAGAGTCAATAACTGCATACTAATCTGCCCCTAGATAACAAAGAGTCAACTAAATTAGTCATTCAAAAAAGGTAAATGTATAAACTCTGTACCTGTCTATATTTATATTGCCACTCAGTATATTTTAATTATATTTTGGAAGTAATTAGGAAGAAAAAGGAAGACTGTATCCAGGAAAGACCTACATCTACTATTCTTCCTTTCAAAGGACAGTCCTCAGTCTTTGCTCCTTAAAATACTAATCACGGCCCATAAGTGCTGGCATCCCCTGGGTGCCTGTTAGAAACGTACAATCTCTGGTTCATTCCAACATTCTGAATTAGATTCTGCCTTTTAACAAGAATCCCCAGTAAGTCAAACACACATTAAGTTTAAGAACACCAATGTAAAAGAGTTCTTAACATCAACAACACTAATTCTAGTTCTACCTGAAATCTTATGGCTAGCACTTTCTATATTTACCTCTTTTCCTTCTTCAATTTCTGTCCCCTTACACAATGCATACCAAAACAGAAAAGGGCCATATCATATTCATTTTTGTACACTCAGTTAAACCTTAACACAATGCTTATTACATAAAGACTCAATAAACTTGTTTTCATAAAATAAATTATAAGTGGTTACATCAAAATGAATAAATTATACTATGTGATACACGTGTTAAAAGATCTGACAAAAAGTTTAAATTATTATTCCCTAATCTGGTAATCTATTATCCAATTTGCATAATTTGTATTCACAAGGCATCTCAATAACGTGTTCAAAATCATTAACCAATATCAATGGGAAAATATTCAAATTACTCATTTTAGTTCTATAAACTTCTAAACAGATACTCACAAGACCTCCAAACATTTCCACATTTTCTTTATTTTACACATCTTTTAGGTAATGAAGTAGTAAATGTATCATTTAGTTTTGAGCTAATTTTTAAGTATATATGCTAGTGTTCCAAGTTCATGTTCTCAATTATTTTAAAGATATTTAATTATTTACTATTCTTACTATTACTTTAAATCTTCAAACATCTGGTAAGATTCCATTAACTGAAACTCTTTCCATACCCAGACTGCAATTAGTGATTCTAATCCCTTCTTATATAGCTATATACATATATTATTAAAGTGTTATTTTTAAAATGAACAAATATATTCGTAATTGCCTAAAATAGTCACTTTACATTAAGTGCATTTATTACAAATGGTAATCATGGATGTGTTCATGTAATAATTTTAAATAACAACACAAGCAACAAAAATAATTTCCAGCTACAAAATCAAGATTATTATAAAAATATAAAATCACATCATCTTAGAGCTCTTAAAAAGCAATCCTAACTTGCTGATGTGGTATGGGTGACAGGTGTCAAAAGTAAACCTTAAACAAAGGTATTTAAATTCTCAATTCAATGACTTTTCTTGCATGTCAAAACCAAGATTAATAAAGATGAGCAAAATTATTGAGAAAGCAAATCTCTTATTCCACTTGAGCACTTAACAGAAACACTGCAATGCCCAAAGATTTCTTACATTTCAAAATAAATAAGTTAGAGAATTATGCCCAATGAAGAACAAATTCAAATTGGCACTATACCTAATATGGTAGCCCCATATAGTACAAGGACTATCCATGATCCATTACCAAAGTAATTCTTAGCGTGCTTCTTTAACATCTATCACATTACTAATATTTCCAAAGGAAAAAAAAAAAGAGGATTTAATAAAAGTACAATTTTTCAAAATACCAAGTCCTCCAATAAGAAAATTTTGAGAGCTGTAGAGCTAGTCTTAAAGAAGTTGTAACCCTGAAAACCTATAACTGCTTAAGATCACAACAGACAAGTATCTTAAACATGGTGTCCTTGAATGAATCAGAATGCAAGCAGAGTATAAAATAGGGAGAAATAATGAAAAAAAGCAAAAAGTAAAATGAAAACAAGCTAGGTCCATCTAACAAATTACAGTTATCAAAGAACTTGCTCCATCACAGATGAACAGAAGTATTCATAACTGAGTGGTCATTTCATGGTATATTTTGAAGCTAATACAAATCACTTTAGAAACAAATACAGCAGCAGGGCAAAAACAACATGTAGTTGCACTTTGGAAGGCTGAGGTGAGAGAACTGCCTGAGCCCACAGGTTTGAGACCAGCCCGGGCACCTTAGCGAGATATCATCTCTACAATAAATCAAAAAATTAGCTGGGTGTGGTGGTACGTGTCTGCAGTTCCAGCTACTTCGAAGGCTGAGGCAGAAGGATCACCTGAGCCTAGCAGGTCAAGGCTGCGGTGACAGTGAGCATGCTACTGCATTCTAGCCTGGACAACAGAGTGAGACGCCAAAATAAATAAATAAATAAAAATAAAGAATAAAGAATGTGTGGATGAAGAAAGAATTCTACTTATCAGGTATGTGCTTTAAAACTTAATACAGATGCATTATTTGGAAATTCCAAACTATTAATCAATTAAGGGTTCAATTCTAAACTGTGCTCATTTCAACAGTAACTATTAAGCTATTAGAAGTGAAAATCTGAAATGCATTCCAAATCTTGACATGTTCCAAGTTTTTTGTTTTGTAATTTTTTCTAAGAACTCAATTTTCCTAGAGAACAATGACAATCTGAGTCGTTTAGATGACCAGACTCTTGAACTGTCAATAATTTACTTGAAAAGAAGTGATATAAACATTCAAAGAGGAGACTGTCATGGTAACGAAACTGAAAAAGAATAATGAAGTATTTCTATTACTTCTCTCTCATTTGGACTAGAAAACATGTAACAAATTGTAATTAATAAAATTATGAGTAGAAGTTACTTTTATTTCCAATTAAGTCAAACATGATTATGTTCCCAAGATTAGACTGATTAATTTGGCAAATGAACTAAATTTAAAACTAAGAGTGAGCAGTACCTTAACACCTTTGATATCATCATATTAGGCTTCACATATTCACTTGTGAACTGATTTCTCTAAATTTAATACATATTTTTTTAATGAAAAATCAACACTTATATAAGCAACAACTAATAAGTAAGTCAAATATGGTTAGACCAATCATAAGGAATGCTTCCCTCAATGACCTATATGTAAAAAAAGAACATGCTTAATCATGAGCAAAATTCCAAATTCAATGTTAATTAGGACAATGAAGTCAAACCTTGAAAATATCTGTTAAGCTAAATATCATCAAATTTATGCTGGGAATAAAATGCTAGTAACTTCGTGGCAGCTGTTCGAAAATGTATTCATATATATGGTTGTATGTGTATAAACATAATATTCTCAAAAATATTTTTTAAAATTATGAAACTATATGGAAAATAAAACATAAATTAAGTTCATAAAATATTTCAAGAAAATGCTATATATACAAAAACAAGGTGTGAACAAAATGCCACGTGTTTCTATTGGCTGTCAACAAACAATGGATGGCGGTCACCAAAAGGGAGCGTTTTCCCTTCTGGTCAGTTGGCTGTAGAGTTTTTTAAAATTTAATTTATATTAACAGATTTATAAAAATATGTGAAAGAGTTAACAAGAAAACCATGACCAATTTATCTTAACTACTATAAATTAAAATAGCCACAAGTCTAAAGATATATAAGATGTATATTTTATATGTAAAATAGTAAAATAGTAAGTGCTGCTGTAAAAACCTTCTCACAAATAATAATATGCACAAAATAAGTAAAACTTTGAAGCTCCACCTATTCCTTATTCTCTGCATTTTATACTTCTAGAAATAAAAATGATGGATTTCCATGAGGCAAAAAGCAAATCGAGAAACTCTGAGATCTGAATAAGATTACTTGAGCTCAGGACACCCAGAGTGATAGTCTTCCAAGTAGCCAAAGTGAGTCAAGCATATTCTAGTTCACCATTGTATACCAAGGTTTCTTCTAAGAATCTATAATGGAAGTTTTATAATCTGTTTAGTACTTCAGAGTTTACCTTGAATCTGACAGTATCGATAACTCTGGTATCTAAAGCCCTCATAAATAATCCTTGTTTCTCAAACTGTAATAATTCAATTAGTATAAGGAGATGCAAAATAAA